TCTCTCTCTCTCTCTCTCTCTCTCTCTCTCTCTCTCTGTGTGTGTGTGTGTGTGTGTGTGTGTGTGTACATACAGAGTCTTACCATGTATCTCTGGCTGGCCTGGAACTCACTGTGTATGCCAGGCTGGCCCTGCCTCCTGAGTGCTGAGTCCTAAGGGCTTCCCTTCTTATTTTTTGAGACATCTCTGACTAAATCTTGTAATAAGCTTGCTGATTTGGCTAGACTGACTGGCTGGCTACCAGCAAGCTTTGATATCCACTGTGCGCCTCCATAACAGTGGGATTGCAGGTGTGCCTTGCTCCAAGTGCCTCTTTTTACTTGAGTGCTTGAGATGAATTCTGGTCTTCATGCTTCACAGCAAACACTTCAGGAGTCAGCCATCTCCAGAGCCCTATAATTTTAGAACATTTTTATCATCACAGAAATAAACTTTGTACCCATCCCTAGTAATTTCCTCTTTTTCCTGGTTTGGGCAACTACTTATCTATTTTTGTTTCTCTGGATTTGCTTATATAATTAACTCCTAGATTTGTCATCTCTTCCTCATATCTTCCCTTTTCGGGTTCCTTTCAGAATGACTGTAGATTTTGCATAACTACTAGTTTGATAGTTTGGACTCTTCTATCATTCTAACATCTGAAATAATGATTAGCACTTAGTATCTTTGCTGGTATTTGGGTGAACTGTGAGATTAATCTAGGTACTACAGTGAGTTTTGGTTATGTTTCTGGTACTTAACCATGGTTAAGAGTATTAGTGTTCATTATTATGACTAGGGTTTTTTTTTTATGTTCCCTTTTATCCTTTCTACATTAGTGCCAGACATTCTCTGGTTCATTTTTGATGTGCCAGCAACATAAAGCCCACTTAGAGTTCTTCATGAATTTCCTTCTTGCTTCTTACTCTTTGCTCATTGTACTTAGAATTCCCCTCAGGGCTTTCCAATTTCCTAATTTCTATTTAGCTCTTTACACAGATAGTCAGAGAATTGGACATGTTAGCCTTTCCTCTTTACACAGATAGTCAGAGAACTGGACATGTTAGCCTTTCCTCTTTACTAAAAGCTGTTTTAAGAGCTGTGTAGTCTCTTCATGTAATACTGTTTAGAAGTATCTGTATTTACCAGTCTAGATCAGTAATATTATTTATTAAAATGTTTGTGCATGAACCTATATAGTTGCTTAAAAATTGTGTGTGTGTGTGTGTGTGTGTGTGTGTAAACATGGTGATGTTTAGTTTCAATTGTCAACTTGACACAATCTGGAATTCCCTGAGAAGTGAGTCTCAGTGAGAGGCTGTTATGATCTGGTTAGCCTGTGGGGATTGTTAGTCTGTGAGAGGTTGTCTTTATTACATTAGCTGAGGTAAGAAGGCCTGGCCATGGTGGGTGGATCACCCTGAGTTTGGGTCTTAGGCTGTATAATAGAAGAGCTGAGGTGAGCACATGTGCTCTGTTCTCTTTTGGCTCTTGATTATGACTCTGTCTAGCTGCTGCAAGTTCCTAACTTGACAGAACCTGCAGTTGTAAACTGAATAAACCCTTTCTCTCCTAAGTAATTTTTCAGGGTGTTTTATCATCGCAACAGAAACAAGAATAAAATGAGTAGTATGTCATCTTTTCTTAAATATTCATATTTTGATTAAAATCACACCTAAGTCCTACTACTTTCAACCTGTACTTTCTAATGGTTACTGTGGTTTTCTTGATGATCGGCACTGAAGTTTTCACCATTTCTCACTTCATCAGTGGTAGCTTTTTGTTTTTGTCACAGCACCTTCTCTGTATTGTATCCAGCCCTGGCCATGCTACACCTTGTAATTACTGGTAGCAGCTGCCTTAGGAGAGTATCTTGAGCATGGATCTCTTTTTCATTTTCAGCACTCCTGGTAGCTTGCACAGCACCTAGTACATAGCACATAATTATTTGTGGTCTCAATAAGCTAAATTATAAGTGGAATTAATTTGTTCTGAAAATAATTGAATGATTATGTTTAAATCACGATGATAGGCTAGTTTCTTCTTAGTTTTCATTCCATTTATTCTTAGACTTTTGGAAAATACAATATAAATTAAACACCAAAAAGTATGTTAAGAGATTTTATATACATATATGTGTGTGTATGTTTGTGTGTGTCTTGTTTTTTTTTTTAATTTTTGATTTAGCAGACACAAAATTACTCTTCAAAAAGTCTCTCAGGTTGTGGAGAGATGGTTCAGTGGTTTAAAGTGCTTGTTATTCAAGCATGAGAAGCTGAGTTTGAATTCCCAGAACTCATGTAACACTGGACATGGCATCTCATGGATGCCATTAAGCACTTGTGGGGCAAGACGGGAGATGAAAGCAGAAGAATCTCCAGAAGAAGTTTGAGACCAGCTAGCCTGCTAAATGCAGTGTTGAACAAGGGCTCAAACAGGGTGAAAGAAAGAGGGCAACACCTGATTGTTCTCCACAGCTGTGCACCTGCACTCACACACAAAGTTTTCAAAAATCTGGGCCCTGAGTGGTCCATATATTGTAAAGCAAATCTATTATATGTAAAGCATTGTGGTCAATGTTTTATCCCAGTAATTTCTCAGAAATCTATGGAGTAGGCACTGTTAACACCATATAGGAATCTGAGGAACAGAGAAGTTTAAATTGTTGTGGGTCATATAAACATCATTTAGCCAGCATTCAAGCCTGTATATCCCAGTCTATCTCCAAAGTCTCTGTACTAGCATATAGCTAATTTCATATGTATGAAGTAAGGTAGTATTCTAGATAAGAATGGTAAGTGTAGATGGGAATGTGGGCACACATAGTCACAGGTTGGAATGTGATTATTTGCCAAAGGAAAAAGGGAAGTCCTTCAACAGAGGAATGGATACAAAAAATTCTTAGGTAAATGGATGGAACTAGAAAATCCTAAGTGAGGTAACCCAATCACAAAAGAACACACATGATATTCACTCACTGATAATTGAATATTAGCCCAGAAGCTCGAAATACCCAAGAGTCAACTCACAGACCACATGAAGCTCATGAAGAAGGAAGACCAAGTGTGGGTGCTTCGGTCCTTCTCAGAAGGAGTGACAAAATATTCAAGGGAACAAATATGTAGACAAAGTGTGGGACAGAAACTGAAGGAGGGGCCGTCTGGAGACCTTTCCACCTGTCACCAAAAGTAGACGCCGATGTGGATGTCAGGAAGTGCATGCTGACAGGAGCCCGATATAGCTGTCTCCTTAGAGGTCTGCAAGAGTCTGATATATTCAGAGGCAGATGCTCACAGCTAACCATTGAACTGGTCAAGGGAGTCCCAGTGGAGAAGTCAGAGAGAAGACTGAAAGAGCTGAAAGGGTCTGCGGCCCCATGAGGAGAGCAACAATACCAACCAACCAGAGCTCCCAGGGTCTAAACCACCAGCCTGGGAGCACATAGAGGGGGACCCATGACTCCAGCTGTATATGTAAGGGAGATGGCCTTGTCAGCATAGGTTGGAGAGAAGATCCTTGGTCCCATGAAGGCTGGACTCCGAATGTGAGGGAATTTGAGTGAGGGTGGGGAGGTGAGAGTGGGTGAGGGTACATCCTCATAGAAGCAGGAGGAGGGCGGATGGGATAGGGGGTTCCTGGGCAGGGGGGTGGATGGGAATGGGGTAAGGCGATAACATCCAAAATGTAAATAAAATATCCAATAAAAAATTATAAGATGAAAAAAGAAAAAGAAAGGGAAGCTAGAGGACAGGGTGTGGTTGCTAGTAGAGCATCTTTTAGAATGAAAGAGGCCCCACACTTTAAAATGGGGAGTGAGTCACATGATTTCCTTATAGCATGGTAGAGGATGGTGGCCAGCTGCTCTTTATCTCCTTTAGCATCTGTTTATATTTTGTCTCAGTTACTATTAAAAATAACTGATTTGTCAAATAAGAGAGTGATGGTATTTCTTTGATATATGTTTTTGTTCCATCACTCAGTTTCATATACTGAATATTATTTTCCTATTATTCCTTGTAGTTTATACATAATCTAACTGTAATTACAATACCATAAATAGAAATAGTGTTACTATTTTAAGAATAAAATGTAAATAGTGATCATTTATTATTATGTTAGTGTTTGAAGGTGACTTTGTTGTTGTTCTCAGGGTTTTATGTACAATAGTCTTTTCTTAAGTCCTTAATGAAATTGGTAAATTTTAAGCTAAAACTTTTATTTCAGAAGTATTGTTTATAAAATCAAAACTTTTCTTCCTATAGAAATCTGGTTAAGAAGTACTGTCCCAAACGCTCCTCCAAAGATGAAGAACCAAGGTAAATCTCACCTGTTAGTTATTGCACATTGACAATGTTCAGGACATCATATATAAACTTTATTACTTTGTAAACTATTCTGTAATAATCTCATTAAGTTTTTCTTTAAAGTTGTTTTAATAAAAACATCACAATATTTATACAAACAAACTACTATTTATGTTTTGAGGATAGACAATTTAATGAATGTAATCAATAGTCAGTTTTCTTTTTCTTTTTTTAAGAATAAATGAAAGTGGGATTTCCAAGTAAGATTTAGACCGGGATTTGGCTTCCCTTGTTTAGTCTCCAGCAGAAAGGTGTTTTCTCACACTTCATTGTGATGTTGTCATCAGCTTTCTAAGGCTTTGCCTTTCAGGATAATGAAAATGATGAAATTAGGGGAATAATTTTTGAGTCCTGAATAAAAGATGAGAAATTTCTTTTGGGGTTTTTGGAGATCTTAATATGCAGGTGGTTGTAAGCTGTAGAAATTAAATGAGATTAAATTTAACAGCTTTTTGTATATATTATTGGTTCTTAGCATTCTTAAGGGAGCCAGCCTTCCCTGAGCCCTCAGTTTAAGAGTATTCCTTGGTGTGTTCCAAGTAGATATGTACATTTTAACACAGTAATTTTCTTTGTTTCTCTCCTTCCCTTCGCACACATTTTTACCCTTATTTTGCCCCCTTTATCCCTCTTTGGTGCCAACCATAATGGTACATTTCCATTCAGGATGTGGGCAGGCATACAGGCAGCTGTATCCAGAGCTGATAGCAAAGTTCTGTAGATCAGCTATCAAGATGAATTTGAGTGGTATGATTGGCAGGTTCTGTCCTCGAGAACAAGCACATCATCTCTGCAACAGGTTCAGCTGCCAAGTCTAGGAATCCACCCAAGTGATTCCCAAGCTCAGGCCAGTCAGTTGGCAACCTAAAGATTCCACTATGTCAAAAGAGCCTGCAGGTAGTATTCTTATTATATTTTGACCCCAAATATCCCTTCATTTATAAATTAAAGGCTATGTAAAGATACTTAAACATGTACAACTTGAGCTTAATGCAGGTTTTCTTTCCATCCGTGGTTAATTTAGAACCAGTAGCTGGGAGTAGGTTGAGTATATTAAGGCTTATCAACATTTAGACACCAAAAATACTTCACCAAAAAATTGTAATGGTAGCAAAAATAAATCTCATTTTTTTCATATGTTTTGCCAGGTTTACGTCATGTATCGCCTTTTTTAACATCCTTAATGAGTTAAACGACTATGCAGGACAGCGAGAGGTAGTAGCAGAAGAAATGGCACACAGAGTATATGGGGAGTTAATGAGATATGCCCATGATCTGAAAACAGAAAGGAAAATGGTAACATTTATCATTTTTATCTAATGACAACAGTCTTATGAAATAGTTTCAGAAAATAATTTTTTTCTTTTTAGAACTAAATGTTCGCTTCAAAACTGGTTTTCTATATTACTAAATTTCCTTCAATTAAAAATTGTGAGATGAGAATATGCTGCGAAAAAAAAATCAGTAAAAAAGAAAAACTGTGGGATATGGTTACCAGTTTACAATCTGAATTTAAGATCAGGGTTTGGCAACATATAGCCCACAGACCAAATACAGCCTATCACTTATTTTTGTTTCCTAGATCCCATAAACTAAAAATACTTTATATGTTTAGGTGGTTGAAGAAGTACTAAAAAGTAAATATTCTGTGGCATGTAAAATTTTATAAAATTTGAATTTCAGTGTCCATAAAGTTTAATTTGCATTCATTGGGTGTGGTATTTCCTATGGCTACACAACTGTAGACAGAATACTGTTTGGCTTGCAAACCTAAATATGTATTACTTGTTACCTGACTCTTTATAGAAAAAGTCTATATGAAGTCCTATGAAGATGATCATTATTTTCTTTAATATTATGCCTATTTTAAAGGTTATTTTAAAAGTATTAAAGTAACCTATAAGATGTATTTTAAATAAGTTTTTTTAACTCTCTTCCTAACTCTAAAGATGCATAACTATATATACATGTATATATTTTATCACCTTGAAAAAAAAGTTAAGAGCCTTTTGAGGATGTTGGGATTTCCTTATATGTAAATGTAATTAATTTTGTTTGTTCTGTTTGTTTGTTGATGGTTATAATCTTCAGCATCTCCAAGAAGGACGAAAAGCTCAACAATACCTTGACATGTGTTGGAAACAGATGGATAATGTGAGTACCAGTGCTTTCACGGTTAATCAGAAATGTACAGACTGACTTACCCTTAAGCCCCATTAAGCTTTACATCTGAGTCACATGCTCTCAGTGCGTTAGGTTTGGCAGCAAGTACCATTGCCCACCAAGCTATTTCCCACCAGCCTCCCCCACACCTGTCTCCCCACACCTGCCCCCGGAGGGTGTGCTAGGGTCTCATTCTGTGGGCTGTGTAGTAGGTGAGCTATTATTCACAATCTGCCATTAGTTTTGTTGTTTAGTAACCAAGAAATATAAGGAGGGCTAAGCTCATTCTCTTTTCCTTTCTCCCTGTGTAAATAGTGGGACAAATTCTCTAGTCTACATATCCTGGTAAATACTAGAGATAGTTGTCCAATAAGTGGGGTTTGGAGAATTAGGAAATACTTATCTTGGGAGACTGTTTGCCCTAGAGGAGAGAACTAAGATTGTAGTTTTTGAATGTTTTTATAGACTGGATTTCTCTTGACCTCTTTATGAATACAGAAGAGCAAGGACTACCTTATAGGAAGTGTTTCTTCTAGCTTAGTAGTCCATTAATTCTGTAAGCTTCTAACTGAAGAAAAAGAACTTACAGAACAGACTTAGAAAACATACTGTCTACTTAAACTTTCCCTAAGGTCCTTTATAATGTGGATTTTTAAAAAGGTTTTGTTATAAGCAAGGTGTCCACATCGACACTGGAGTCTTGTTTACTGGATATGCTAGATTGAAGGACTTTGTGGTATAGGAGACTTTTTACATGGTCACATTGCCAAGTGATTGGCTCTTTGCTAGCAGTTTTTACAGTAAATACTATAGTCTTTAAGAATTGTGCTGAAGAAAACTGTTTGTGTACTTAGTTTGTCTAGTTGTGATGGTCAGAATGGCTTGGAGACTGAATATTTACAAGTTCATGCAAGGCACTCTGGTGAAATCTTTGGCATTTTGAAAGTTGATGCATACTCATGCTATGTTTTTATGTTTTCCTGTTAAGATGAATATTTAAAACTTAGATTCTATTTCTATTTAAGTGTCAATGATTTTTAATCACCAGTGCTGATTTAGAATTCTTAGATATATGAATAGCCTTTTTCATTTTCTTTATAATTGGTTTCACCAAGACTTTAAGGGAGGATTTTTAGTTATTAAAATTTAAATTACTGCCAGTGGCATCCTTAGTATCTGCCATCTAATAAGTATGAGAGAAAGTCTCTATTTTCATTTGCACAGAATAACATACTCCTATACTCAGGAGGTACTGGTTCCTCTAGAAATGGGTGTTGACATAAGTCTGTTTACAATATGTGCTGACTCCCCTGTAGATTGGCAGTTATTAAGGAAAGTTACAAAGTTATAAAATAAGACAGAACCATTACAAAAGTTAGGTATTTCAAATAATGCATTTTTTCAAGTCATAACAATATTATGAAAAAGTAAATTTAACCCTAGCCAGCCAGGGTTTACTTGTACTGGTCCCTATATGTTCATAAGTAAATATGACATGGCTTTTAATTTTTGTGGAGCCTGGAGTCCAGTGAAAGAGACCGGCGAAATTTATATTTAATATGTTGAAACAAATATAGGATCCTGTTTCCTAATTCTTTTTCTTTTTAGTCAAAACAAAATTATAGAAGTTTAATGTATCTGAAATAGTGGAAGGCAGCTATAACCAACTGGGGAAGTGAGGAATGTGAAACAATTGAAGGAAGAAGGTGAAAGGAAGAAGTCACTACTCCCAGGGTGAACAATGCCATTTAAAAGGAGGGCAGAAGAGAGTGGTCCATGAAGGAGATCTTGACAGAGTGGTCAGAATCTACGGAGATTAATGTTAGATGCTATATGAAGCAGTCAGGAGGCTCCAGATGACACCTTACAGTTTCCTAAGAACAGAGCTCAGAAACAGCAGCTCCAGTAGTCAGATGTGGAGCGATGTCACTAGTGCTACATGTGCTCTGTGCTTACGTCACTGCATTGTGTTGTTTCTTATTCTTCAGCTTTGCTGCAGCCAGGGGCAAGAAAAAAGGAACATTTCTTTTCTCATTGTTCTTTTTAAATCAAGGACATAAAACTGGCAGAAACCCCAGCAGACTTCCTCCTAGGTGCCTCTGATGAGGCTGTGGGGAGAGTGGTACAGCAAGCCACAGCTATCAGTAGCCTCTGTGTTGAAAGGCAGGTTCTGCTACGGAAGAGTGGAGCAGATGTCATTTCTATATTGTATGATTATACATGGGGAAAGGAATAGTTTTAATTCATTTGTACTTGTGATTGCTTCGCTGTTCCAAGAAAAGTATATGTTTTTCCACAAATAAGATACATAATATAAAACACTTGTTTGTAACTAGCCTCAATTTGTGTCAAAATTATTAACCCATAGCCACTGGACGACGGTGGAATTGTGTAAGTACAAAATACTCAAGTCTCCTGCTTTCTTTTTCTGAATAATTCTCAGAACACAGATCATAAAGGATTTTCCAGGGCACAGACTCAAGAGAGGCTCTCTGGGGAGTCTCACAAACTCGAGTCACAGATTCGGGGAACTACATAGGAGTTTCCAAGGAAACTACCTGGTTGCTTCATGCCAGAGGGAAAGACCAGGGTTAGCCAGCCCCACCTAGAGTGTATTTAATGGAGTTTAAAATAACAGCACACAGAGAAGGATTCCCAGACAGTGAAAGAAAATACCAGATCAGGGATCACAATAATATAGAAGAAAAAACAACTTAGAAGAAACAGCAACTTTATGAAAGGTAAAAAACTTAAAAACAAAAATATCCAAAACCAGTATTAATTTTCTCTGTGGACTAGAGGAAATGCTATATTCATGGAAATAAAGGTAAATACTATTAAAATTGAAGATGTAAATAACAAAAGAACTTCATATAGGGAGAAAGAAAGGAAAAGTTCATGAGAAAAAGACAAAATTGAAGATGTCTTTCAGAAAGTAAAAATAACAGGTTAAAAGTACGAAACAACATAATAAAATTAGAAAATTTCATTTAGCAGTTTCTTTTCCAAAATAACCATGCTAGATTTTAAAAAAGATGGATAAAAGTAAGTCAAGGAAAAAAATGCTTTCAAATGTAAAGTCCTGAATTTCTGGAGGAAAGAATTTGCCAGCATCCAGAGCTGTGAGCTATCAACACTTATCCTCGCAAGGGCTGACAAGGTGGCTCAGCACTCCATTCCAGTCCTCACCCCATGACCAGTGGTGGGAGGAGATAGCTGACTCCTACACATGTACCCCTGACCTCTGTGAGTGCACGCACACTTAAATAGATATATAAACAAATGCTTTAACATTTTCTTAAACAGCTTATGAACATGACATCTCAAAACTCTTTAGAAGAGGTTCCAGATACCTGAGAAACAGATTTAGTCACAGAACCAAAACGATGCAACAAAAAAATAAACACGCCTTTTACAATGAATCAGGAATTAGAATAGGATTGGACATATCTCAACCTACTAATATATAAACCAGAAAATGATAGAGTAGTACTTTTAAATTTCTAAAGGAAACTGTTTCCAACTTTATGCTCAGTCACTTAAAAGTGGTGGTAAAGGGCTGTCCCGGTGGGTGGAGTTCAGAAAGTCTAGATATGGTGGCTGAGGATGGGATGGAATGGGTGGTAACAATAAAAACATTTCTCACCTCAAAAATTATATTTTACAAACCTTCTTGAAAGCTACTGCTGAATGTGATCCTGCAGAATGATAGTGAACCTAATGTATCCAGATAACAGAGGTGCAAGGTATCCATAGGATTATAGGAAAGAGAAACCCCAAGAAAACACCTGCATACTAGGATAGCTGGTATGAGTTCAAACTTACACAGATTAGAAACTGTTAGGAGAAAATGAAACCAGAGAACAAAATTGATAGATTTCAATAATGTGGGTTGAATTAACACTAAGTGTATATTGAAAATCAAACTTGTGTGCATGTGTATATATCACAGTTGTAAATAGCTTTTAAATTTGTTATTTTTATGAATGAGCATATTTTTATGAATAGGTGAGTTTCCCTGCATGTTTTTATGTGCACTTGTTTGTGCCTACTGCCCTTGGAGGCCAGAAAAGGGGTATCAATTCCCTAGAACTGGAGTTCTTAGACCACAAGTCAATCTTGTGGATACTGGGACCCAACCCAGTCCTCTACAAGAGCTCAAGTACTTTATTGAGCAATCGTAAATAGCTTTTTAAAAGTAATAGTAACTTGAATTAGATAAAACTTGGATGTGGTGACACATGTACCCTAGCACTGTGAGGCTGAGGCAGGAAGATTAAATCTTCAAGGACAGGTTGAACTACACAAGTGAATTCCAGACCGGCTTGGACCACATAGCAAAACCCTGTTTTTGTTGGTTTAAGGAAAAACTCAACACAAAAACAAGTAGTCTTGTGTCTCTGCTAATATTCCTGAGATATCTGATAGAAACGTCAAACTACTTTGAAGGGATATTTCTACATTTTAACTGTGTTGTGCTCCTATAATAAAATACATGGAAGCAAACACCAAAACCAACCAATGAAGACTCATTTATAATAAAAATTTTTCTTGTTGTGGACAGAGAATTAGATATGTCTTTAGTATTAGTCATGTTCATGTTATTTTTCTTTATTGTCAACAGCTAATAACTGATATTTAAGACATATAAATATTAGAAGCAATATAAGTTAGTTATAATAATATATTTAATTTTCCAAATTAGGACAAATTTTACTTTCATTGTTCAGTTCATTTTTACATGATACACACTGGGAACATTTAAGCTACTTCACAAATAAGTTTTAAAAATTTTCTTTACAGAGTAAAAAGAAATTTGAAAGAGAATGTAGAGAAGCCGAGAAAGCACAGCAGAGTTATGAAAGATTGGATAATGATACTAATGCGACCAAGGCAGATGTTGAAAAGGTAAGAATTCCAAACTTGCTTTAAAACAATATTATCACTAGTGTGTATTCATTGCATGCAGTCAACAGTCCTACATTGATAACCAAATATTATATGCATGGAAAGAAGGCACACCTTTTGCATCATTATTTTATCTAAGTCTAAAATAGGCAAATGTTGCTTACTTGGTCTGAGAAGGAAAACTGATAACATAATGCCTTAGGTGCATTCATAATGCTCAGAAGAAACTGGCTACTAGGATGTTTTTCTTCCCTATTCCTAAATTGAGTAAAAAGACTGAGATATAGCCATATAGTATGCAAATTGGGTGTGACTCAGTAGTACTCTTCATCAGCCTTACAGAACATAAGCATTGAGCTGTCACCATGTTACCTGTTTACTCAATCAGTCTTGTCATTGATTCTCAGCTGCTGGTAGGATTGATTGGTCTCGTAACTGCTGTTTCTTAGTTTCTCCTTTGTCAGTTGGTAGAGTGTAGTTAGCCCCTGCCCCACTGTCTTTATTATTTCCTTATATAGGCTGTACTCATCTCTGTTGAACATTTTGAGTTAGAAAGACAAATGTCAAATACATTTTTAAATAAAAGTTTTTGAATAATAATAATTCTGAAACTAACTGTAATACTGTCGTCTGATCAGTTCTGATTTTGACTACCTGCCTTGTCTGAGCACTAAATTCTTGTTAATATGACCTGAGTGTTTATGATCTAGCCAACATGATGTTTGAACTGACTCCCATTGAGTTCATGATTATCTGGAATCCTTGTCTTTACATGTGTCTTGGTATGAGGATGTGCCTCTTACAAAGACTGTATTTAAAATTTGTATGGACATCTTTATTTATTATTAGCTTTAATTATATAATTTCTTTTCTAACATTTTGCCATGTTTGTAATTGAATACTGTGTTACTCGATAGTAATGTTAATAACAACACTATTTTGCACATGGGACAAGGTTGACATTCACTTTTAAACACTTTGAGTCATTATCAAATGATGGTTATTCAAATTTATGTCATAGGCCATTTAAAGTTACTTGTTTAGTGGACTCACATTTAACGTGTTCAATTTGTCTACAGGGATAGCTTCACATGCTCACTAAGCATCTTGAAACCTAGATGTAATATGGCTGCTAGTTAGTTTGTCCTAACTTTTTCAGAACTTCAGTGTTCATGGTTTAATGTTCAATTATTTGAAATCTCTTTAATATTAAAAAATTAGACTAGGCTTCAATCGTTCGAGCTTGTAGCCTTATTCTTTTGTATACCCTACTGAAACTTCCATCCTAGCCCATGAGATTCACAGCCTGTGGCTGGGGGACCTGAAGGAGTTCCCCCTGACAGGTCAGTTGGACTTGAGGCTAGGACTTGGAATCTTTGTCCCACTTTGTGGTTTATGGTAGAAGGAGAAAAGGGATATGTGTGTAAAGAAACATTCCAAGCAGGAATCTCAGGTTTTGTCTCGTTTCATGTTTTTCTCTGTAGAAATACATTGTACTTTGGCTCATAGTATTTAGTTTCACTTGCAGGGACTTAGTATTTACTTGCAGGGACTTCTGATGTGCCATGGATTAAATAAGGTTTCGTGGGCTTATCTATGATCTTAGCTATCCTGCTTCCATAGTCGGTTTATTTCTGAGTTAGCAAGGTATAGTAACTAGTATAGTATAGTTAGTTAGAAGCTAAGTAACTACATCTGTAAAAGCTAGCTAACATCCTAGGAGTGAGGGGTAGATAGAGCTGGGATTAGCCAAAAAAAAAAACAACATAGTGAGGCTTATCAATACTTAGTGTACTGTGTAACTTATAGTCCTGATGTCTACATAGCACACAGGACACTCACACTCCTTCTCACCCTCCCTCTCCTCCTTTCTTTTTGCTATGTTGTGCCAGGTTGTGCTTCAACTCTGGCCTCAGCCTTGCATGTATGTAGACTCCTGGTGTGTAGTGTTGAATCTGGGGAGCCAATTCTTATTTTGTTTATTTCCATTTTAGATCAGCGTCTTAGATAGGGTTTTACTGATGTGAACAGATGACCAAGGCAACTCTTATAAGGACAACAATTAATTGGAGCTGGCTTGTAGGTTCAGAGGTTCAGTCCATTATCGTCAAGATGTGAGCTTAGCAGCTTCCAGACAGATGTGGAGCTGCAGGAGCTGAGAGTTCTACATCTTCATCCAAAGGCAGACAAAGACTGGCTTCCAGGGAGCTAGAATGAGGGTCTTAAAGTCCACGCCCATAATGATACACTGCTTCCAACAAGACTACACCTCCTAATAGAGCCACTTCCTGGGCCAAGCATATTCAAACCATCACAATCAGTTAGGATATTTGTTTAGCTTATACTCAGTGTGTTAGAACTAACAATTAAACTTATACTCTTGTCAGTGAAGATAATATTCCTTTGATTTTCTGCAAGAAATTAAATGCATTTTGACTAAGTACCTCCGGTTTTATAGAGATTGAAACACTGTTGAATATTACAGTCCTCCCAACACATTTTAATCTTTACTTACATCTATTATCATTTTAGTTTCATAATTCTAATAGGGTAAAGAAATATTTCACTACTCTTTTCATAGTCAAAAATATTCCTCTGTTTTTCTTATGTTTAAAATGTACTGTTTCAAGGTATAACATCATTTATTATTTTCTGTGTGAACTTTGTACGTAGAGTATTTAGGTTATTGTAAAGAGGCAAGCTATCATAGGGGCAGGGCATTGTTGTCATAAGGAGACTATGTAAGACCTGGAAGCATTTTCATTAGCTATTGGGTTATCTATGACAAAATTTAGGTTTGGATAATTTTCAAAAAAATGAATTACTTTGGTTTTGGTAATCATTTGGACCATTTTGCCTGTAGGCCAAACAGCAGTTGAACCTTCGTACACACATGGCTGATGAGAATAAAAATGAATATGCTGCACAGCTGCAAAATTTTAATGGAGAACAGCACAAACATTTTTATGTGGTGATTCCTCAGATTTACAAGGTAAGTTTAGTCTAGTTGATTTCAAAGAATTTTTTGGAGACAAGATTTCACTGTTTATCTTCCCTGGTTGGCCTGAGCTCATAGAAACCCACCTGCCCCTATTTTCCCAGGGCTGGGATTAAAGGCATGCACCACCATGCCTAGCTAAAAAGTTAATTTTAAGTTAGGAAAAAAAAGGTTTTACATGATGTAAGAAAGCATTTTGCACTATGATACAGCTCTAGTCCCAAAACTCAAGTATTAAATCTTAGAAATCAGAATATTTCTAAATTCACTAGTTATAAAATACACTGGTGATAAATTTTATTCTAATTGTATCTGAAAAGTAGATGTTCTTATTTTTAAACCACAGACTTTTCTGTATGTTTATTATTAGTGTTACTGTCTTAGTTTGGGGTTTTATTGCTGTGAAGAGATACCATGTACAAGGCAACTTTTATAAAGGCAAGTATTTAATTGGGGTTGGCTTACAGGTTCAGAGGTCCAATCCAATATCATGGTGGGAAGTATGGCATCATGCAGGCAGATTTGGTACTGGAGGAGCTAGGAGTTCTACATCTAGATCCGAAGGCAGCCAGGAGACTAGTTTCAACAGTGGGATGGAGCTTAAGCATATATATGCCTTCAGGGCCAGTGACACACTTCCTCCAACAAGGCCACACCTCCTAATAGTGCAACTCCCTATGGCAGTATTTATGGCACAAAAAATTCAGCTTATAAGTAAATTACCTTTTGTGTTTGGGGGCTACTTTGGAGCTTGCTTAGAGTAGTCTTGTCATTTTGTGATCAAACAAACAAATTAAAAAACCAAAGGTATCAAAATAAGTCTCCAGACTTTAGAAAGTAACAACAAAAAGTGATCTGAAGTAGGGTTTGAGAAGGTGAGAAGAAAGGCCAGTGCTGGCTGAGAGCAAGTGTGCACAGATGACTTCCAACTTACTGACCATGCCTGTCTCAGCATGTTTCCCATTGTGAATTTGGACATGGGGGAATTTAACATGTGCGCTGCTTTGGTGATGTGCCTTACTGTTTGCCTTTCATGCCCTCAGCTCTGAGCTGCAAACTGTAGTAAGGTCTGGGTCCTGCCTTTATGCCATCAGTTGTGATCCTTCATTCAGCCAGGTCTTATCAAGTACTCTGAACCAGTTTAAGGATACATCCTAGACTTGTATCTTATAGATAATTGCTTTAAAAGAGGGGGTGGTGATTAATGCTAGAGTTCAGTGTTTAAATGGAACATTTCCTGAAAGCATAAAACTACCCCAGTTCAAGAGAAAAGGGTGGGAGAGGTGTGGAGCAGAGACCTGGTTGCCAATTATGTAATCTTTTAGATAATTTTTAATATCAGTATTAAAAGCCTTATATCCTTCTTTTGTTATTTAACAGGTCTTAGATTGTAAGAATTATTAAGTCTATATAGCACCATTGAAAAGTCTAAAAATAAAAGTATAATATGGAAGAAATATTTTTGGGGAGGTCCCTAATTGTTCTCCTTCAGAATAAAAACTTCAGTTTCCCTCCTTGTTTGAATTCTGGATTTTTAGCAACTACAAGAAATGGATGAACGAAGGACAATTAAACTCAGTGAATGTTACAGAGGGTTTGCAGACTCAGAACGCAAAGTTATTCCTATCATCTCAAAATGTTTAGAAGGAATGATTCTTGCAGCAAAATCAGTTGATGAAAGAAGAGTAAGTACCGTATAATTGTCTCTGCATTGTGCATGTGGTAGAGTTGTGCATTTGAAGTTAATGAAATGGTTTGGGAAGTGATTAAAGTAACCTAAGGAATGCTTGCTTCGTAATTATACTCTGTATGAGAAAGCCTGCATAAGTTAGACTCCTGCAATAAGTTCAACTCTAAAATTCTTATTCTTTAAAAGAAACCTGCAGCCCTCTCCTTTCCATTATTTCTTTCTACTCCAAGATTATAACCTTTGAACTATGTGTTTACATTATATTATGCTGTTATTCTAATGACAGTTTAAAGAAGGATGTGATTAGATCAATCTAGTGTTATCCAAACATTCTTGTGTAGTCCATCTTAAATGCAAGAGTTAGTGCTTGAGCTGATCAAGAAACAATGTAGACTAGTGACCATGAGGAGAAGAGGAGGGTGTCAGGAGTCAAGGACACAGCACATTCTTGTTCTTGAGAACATAGATCTAGAAGCATCACAGCTTAGCCAAAGGGTAGCAGTTTTAGATCTGGTTATTTCTCAGTAAATGTTGACTGAGTTACTAAGAAGCATGGACAAGTAGACTCTGACATTCCAAGGGGAAAACAAGAAAAAGAACTAACTTTGGAAGAGTGTCACATATGTGCCGTGTACTTCAGTCTTCACAGCAAGCCATTATTCAGTCAATGGTAGCAAAGAGCCTACCTGTAACTAACTGAATCCCTAAATTTTTTTTTTTTAAAAAAGGAAAAGGCCTTTTAGTAAAGTTTTATTTAAAAGTTTTTGAAAGCTAATGTACTGTTAACAATTGTTTTTAAAAAACTGTTTCTTATATATAGGATTCTCAAATGGTAGTAGATTCCTTCAAGTCTGGCTTTGAACCTCCAGGAGACTTTCCATTTGAAGATTACAGTCAGCATATTTACAGAACCATTTCTGATGGGACCATCAGTGCATCCAAACAGGAGAGTGGCAAGATGGATTCCAAATCCACAGTAGGGAAGGCCAAGGGCAAACTCTGGCTCTTTGGAAAGAAGCCTAAGGTAAAAACCACGAAATCCCCATATTCTAATCAAACTCTTACTTAGTAAGTTGAAAAAGACGTTGAATGGATAATAATTTACATCTAATAGAGGAATACTTGCATTCAGCTTGAATAATTCAATTAATTTTTCACTAATTAGAAGACAGTCTTGTACCTTGAGCACTTAGTAATGTGGAAGAATATTAACTAAGTTTTAATATCTAGGTAAATTACACGTTTTTACAATTTTACTTATATAGTGTCAGAATTGTAAGGCAATGTTTTACTGTTACTGCAGTGGAGATTCTTAGTTGGAATAAATGATTAAACTCACTGGTAATCACTGTCAGGTGTTATAGCTCATACTACTATAACCTTTTATTATCCAGATGTGAGTTTAATGAGAAGGGCTTAGTGTTCTTGATTAACTTCAGCTTTTAGGAACCTCTAGTTTACTAAGAGAGTCTTGCCCTTTTCATACCTCAGATTTTGATGTACTGTTAATTTTGGAAGCTAAACAAACATAGCTCACCACATGAGCAAATGGTATAGACCAGTGCTTTGTCTTTCTTGTCGATTTAGTGATTGTGTTGCACCGGGGAGCAGAGATGTATTCCTTCTGTCTGATATACTGTAATTTTTAAAATGTGTTTATGTAATTTAATTTAGTGCTTATTTAATTTAGTACTTAGATCTTGGAATATGAAAGTATATAAAATTTAACTCAAATTATCTAACTGCTAGTATCTTTAAAAATACATTTATTAGTGATTCGGGCTTTACCTATGCTTTTAATAATACTGTTCAGTGAAGAGGTTGAGCGGTGAGACCTCTCTTGGTCACAGCAGACTAGCCAGGGCAGCTTAGAAAGATCCAAGTGCTTGTTTAAGAAGAGATGGCGAGAGGAAAGCTAGGGATGATGGGAAGCTTTCTGCCTATTTATGGTAATCAGATACAGTTTTAAAAGTATTTTGTGTGATAACTTTAACTATAGTTGATGCCTTTATCTCTTGACAAGTACAAGTTAAATATAACCTGTATAGAATCCATCATGAAGCTAACATGCTAAAATCCAGAAAAATTTTTTAGTCTAGGTTATATTGTTCTCTCTAACATAATTTGTATACTCTATATTTTAATCTATCAGCTTGTAAAAAAGTGAAATGGTATTGTTTAAAAGTAACTGACTTTTAAAAGATAATAGCTTTAGCAAAACTATGTTTACTCTCTATTTTCATAGAAAATTTTATTTAAAGTGTATTTTGTGAAAATGTGTTGCCAGAAATAGAATTTTCATTTAGGACAAAAAACTATGCACATTTGGCTTATTGATTCCTTTCTTTATTTCCATATTAGCCACAGTCCCCACCCTTAACCCCTACTAGTTTATTCACATCCAGTACTCCTAATGGGTCCCAGTTTCTCACATTCTCCATTGAGCCCGTGCATTATTGTATGAATGAAATAAAAACAGGGAAGCCCAGAATTCCTTCTTTCAGAAGCCTCAAAAGAGGGGTAAGTTTAATAATGGGTTGAAATGCATGATGGCCTAATTGTGTGTGTAGTGTGGCTTTTCAATACTCTCCACCCTCATTATAAGGCTCTCCTATAAAGACATAGTTTAAAATCACCACAGAATTAAGTATAGCTGCCCTCAAGTAAAAACAACTCCTCTTTATAACATTTGAAATGTTCAACCATAAAAAATGGTATTATAAAGAGGGTGCTGGGTACAGTCATATTTTAGCTTTTTTTGTTTATGTGAAATCATATGTCCACCATTGTCTTGTAATGTATTTACATTTTTAAGACTTTCAGTAATTTGTCACTGGAGTTGCTCTTGTAATGATTTGTCACTAATGCTGACTTCACCTACCAATCTTATAAAATCTTGTTTTGTTGACAGTAAAATGTCAAGATTGATTTTTATGCCCTACTTACTTTTAGATGCATAAAATATAATTTCCAGTACCTTAATAAAAAACTAAAAAGCCGATGTGAGTGAGACGCAGCTTTGTAATTACAGCACCTGGAAGCCTGAGGCAGGAGGATAGAATTTGAAGCTAATCTGGGTTGCATATGACATTTAAAACCAGTCTTGGTTATACAGAGAAGTGATATCTCCAAAAGCAAAAAAATAAAATAAAGAAGATAAGTATATTAAATACAGATTCTTATATGTCAAATTAATATACTAGAAGTTATTACTAAATTATAAAGCCTATAAAATACTTAAGTATTATTGAGTAATGTCCATGTGGAATTTGTTTTCTTCTTGAACTAAATATAAACCTTTTTACTGTAGTTTTCCTTTTACTTTTTAAAAATTGACCAGCCTTAGGCAAAATACTATTAGGTATTTTAATAGTACTCTGCAAATGAAAATGTACAGACTAGAAAAACTCAAGTGCATTGGTGTTTCTTACCAATGACTGTTACACTTCTAATAAATTAATGGTACTTCATTATGCTAATAGGACTAATTTTTGTTTTTATAGTTCTGAAGATTGAACCTAGGTCTTTGTGTATATGAAACATTTTATCACTAAACTACTCTCCTAGCCTACTAATTTTTCACTTTTATGTTTGAATTTTAGGTAATTCTCTTAATTATACAGCAGCAATTTAGATTAATTTATAGGAGGTTTTGAACATTTGAAAGACAAGTGTGATAACCATGTGTAGTATTAGATTATTGAGAGTAATATACAAATAGTGTCTTCTTTCTCTTTCCTTTCTGTAGCTTTTCCCAGAATTAAAGTGCATTTTAGACACCTGAAGAACAAAATGTATTTGTTTAGGGCAAGATCACATTATTTTTTATTCTAAACTATTAAGACGGTATGACAAACTACACTGATGGCAGTAATACAGACCAACCCAGTGTATTAGCATCTTCAACCTTTTTTACCTCTCAGCTTCCCTAGCTGTGTGTGGATAATAGAGGCCATTCATGACCCTTAGAGAGGTTCCTCACAAATGAGTTTGTATTTTGTGGACTAGCATCCAGGCTGTCACTCTGGAGAGCTTTTTATTCTTGTGTGAGAGACTTTGCTTTTGTTTTTTGTCTTTTTTTCCTTCCTTAGTTATGAGGTAGAATTTTTAAGCTGCTTCTCATAGAAATACATAGTAAATTAAATTATATGGAAAAAAATAATGCAGTTTAGAGCTATAAGGCCTGGAGAGAGAATCTTAAATGTGTAGCATTCTTACTGAACAATTTGCAGTTAGAATTTTACAACTGCAGCACTTAAAACTTGTTAGCTTACACATTATTAGATTTATTTTCATATATTGCTTTAAATTGTCACACATTGTTTTTATAATTCTGGAAAACTGAAATCGCCATGTCTAAGTTGCCATAGTAACTAACTAGAGGATTAGAGTACAGAACAGGGAAGAAAGTGTTTATCTTTGGGATTGAAATTTTTATATTTTGATTGATCTTTCAAAGTTTACTAGATAATATTTGAAAATTAATACTAGAGATAGAGATGTTTTCTTTCCACTCAAGAATTCCACAAAGAAAGTAAGCCTTAATAAACTGTTTCATTATGTGTATTTATGTGGATGCTCATCCACTAAGCTTATAGTGTAAGTGTTGGGACGGCTTCTAGCTGCTGAGTTGTACCTTCAGTTCAGAAGCTATTTTCTGTCTTGTTGGATATTGTGTTGCCTAAGTAGCTTTTCTAAAACACATACATATATACATATATACATATGTTTACTTTTAAAGAAAAACTGGTGTATGCAGTCTCATAATTAAGGATTTGAAAAATGTTCCATCAGAACGATGTTTCTGAGTTTGATAGCTGTGCCACTGGATCTGTTCCAAGGGATAAGGTCCTAAAATTGCCCTCTGTGATCTCAAGTTCTAAGTGGGTGTTTGGGAAATACACCCAAACTTGACGGCTTACTACACAGATTAGCATTTTTTTTATCTCCGTAACTACTTTATTTTGTTTTTATAGACACTCCTTTTTAGAGTAATAGAATTACCTAGCTTATAATAGGAGTCCATGTTTATGTTTAATTATACATAATCCTACAGATTTCAGAATACATTCTCAGGGTTTTGGCCTGTTTTAAGATGAAACACATCTAATTATTTTCATTCCTTTACTTAATTTTAGTTCTCCTGTATCTTGCACTACCCAAAGATGTAGTGCTTAGATGAAATTTTCTAATTTGTAAACTATTTCTATATGATAGTCTGATATTTTTACCTTGAACATGTATTAAAACCAATATTTATGTTCTTAGAGAACTTTTTTAGTGAATTTAAATTTATTTTCTACTTAGTAAAACTAGATAAGCTAAAATAGAAACATTTGATATTTCATCTATAATTATCCTATTTTCTCTAAAGATTAAAATATAAATTAGGAAAGTAATTATATCACTCAGTAGTGAAAATTAGTATAAAAGATAAGGCAATTCAATTAACTATTCCTTTTCATACAATTTTGTTAGTGTTTAAGAATACTATGGATATTTTTTCTTAATTACCTGTTTTTCTCACTGTGAATTTTGTGATAGCAAAATAAATTGATTTTTTTCTTCTTTAAAGTACTGACAGTCTAAAGAATGTTAAGTGTAGTTTAGAAAGACAATGGATAGCAAATGTCATCTTCTCTGTCATGATCATTGATAAACATGGCCAACTCATCAGAGATAAGGGGTAGATATTTTTGCTAGATATTTATTAAATTTCTTTTAATTTCTTATGTGAAAATTTTCTGACATATATTATCTTTCCTTAAACAAATTATGATTTAGAAAACAGGAACTTTTTTTTTTTTTTTAATGAGGGATACTGAGGATTGAACCCATGGCCTTGCACATGTGAGGCAAATAGTCTACCACTGACATGTGTCTCCAGGCCCCCTAAATGAGGGAATGTGCTGAGTGTGAAGATATGTAAAGTTTAATGCATATTCTAGGCCAGTGTGTGTGTGTGTGTGTGTGTGTGTGTGTGTGTGTGTGTGTGTGTGGTCATGTGTGATCCATTCTGGGCCACTTGCAGAATCCTGGTATCAGAATGGTGTGTGATACGTTGATTCATAAGAGCACCCATAGTTGATCTCTTCGGACTCTGCTCATGCCTTTCTCTTCTGAAAGGGTAACTCTGGATTCAGGTTCCCAAAGGTGAAGTAAATTCAGGGCTGTTTTTTAGGCATGTTGATTTCAGAATAAAACCTAAAAAATAAAAAACTCAAAGCAAAACTCAACCTATACCTTTGAGTCTAATAATATAGAGAGAATTTGATTCTCTCTATATTGAGAATATTATTTTTAAATAACTTAATCCATAGTCCAACATATGCTAATACCTTTGGGTGTCATAGATTAGAAAATAATGTGCTTAACTGTCATCAACCCATCAAATTCTTAAGTGTTATTTTTATTTTTTAAAACACAACACCTTAAGAATGTTACCCTTACCAAACTTTGATATATTTAAATCTAAAATAGTGTTTAGATTAGGAAACTTCAGGAAATGATGCTTTCTGTAAAGCATCGAGAAGGACATTCTAGTTTTTAAAGATTTCATAAATTTCCTTTTAAATGGCTAATGTTAGATCTTTTTCAGTCAGCACATTTCAAATATCAGTGCTTCTGAAAATGAATGATAGGAGTAAACACCCTCACATAATTCTCAAAAGAAAATATATGATGGTAGGATGATATACTTTTTTTTGAGTTTTAGTAAATTTAGAAAATATCTGCCCATTATCAGTGTGTGCTTTCCTTTCTTCTTCTTCTTTTCTTTCTTTCTTTCTTTTTTTTTTTTTTTTTTTTTGCGTGTGTGTGCAAGCAATTTGCTTTCCCAAGTGTGCTTAAATTTTTTTTCTGGCATAATTGTTTGAATTGTAAAGTGTACATAATTTATTTTAATATTGTAAAAAGTATAGGTTATTGCATCTTCTGTATTATGATTTCATGTGAATAATTTACCATTTCTTTCTGTTTTCCATTGAACTATTCAGTGGTCGATGAAGATGGTAAGCCCTGTGTGCTGATCTGTACACTGTACCAACATTAAATACTCCGGAAACATTGATTTCATTTAGAACAAGTGCTAAAGGATAACTCCACATTGCAACTTGTATGATTGTTTTTTAAATAATTGAATCCATAGTCCAACATATGCCAATACCTTTCGGTGTCATAGATTAGATAATAATGTACTTACCTATCATCAACCCATCAAATTCTTAAGTGTTATTAAAGTTCATGTCATGTTAAAAAGAATTAATTTTTAAAAATTTTTCTAAGTTATACATAGTAGAGCAAAATTGATGTTTTACAGAAGTAAAATTTAGAAAAACACTTTAAAACTTACTTTCTTTAAAAGGTCATACAAATTTAATGTTTACTTTAGCATAAGAATTATTAGGTTTTTCCAGGAAAGAAAAAAGTTTTGCTAATTTTATAATGGGTTTTGTTCTTTGTTGGGAAGCAAAAGTAATGTTTTGTGTGAGAGTGTATGTGAGTATGTGTTTCCCATCGCTCTGTGTTTTAGGTGTTCCTATATGCATTTATTTCATACAAATTGATGGATTTACATTATGAAGAATTAACCCCCAAATAATTGAGCACTTGCATAGAAAGCTATGCTTACAGATGTAGAAAGCAGATTACTGTTTTAGATATTTCTAGTTGAGACATTTATAAAACAGGTTATTAAATGCCTTGCATGGCTTTTTGAAGTTCTTAGTAAATATGATGGAATTGCCTCATGTTCTTATGTAAGAATGTGTTATAATGTTGAAATGAGATGTTAGGAATGCAAGTGCCTTGATTCCTATTGTTCAAATATTAGGTATCAAATACTAGGTAATGAAATGCATTAGGGTTACACAGATATTTGGAGATTTACCCATTGATAATGGCCAGTTATAGCTCCTCCCAAAGCCTAGTAAACTGAAATATATGTTTTATTTCACTTAAATTATTTTCAAAATATGAAGTAGGTTATTTTTGTACTGTTACATGATAGTATAATCCCAGGACCCCAAATTAGAATGAATCTAGTAAATTGCATTGATCATTAGCTAGTAAATTTAAAGGAATTTTATATAGAAGATTTTGCTATTCCATCATTTAGTTTAGGTTTGGTTGATTGGAAATACCTGATATAAAACAAAAGCAACTTAAACAGTGGCTCCACTTTTAGTCATTATGGTTGTTGAATGCCCATAATCTATGGGCCACTGTGAAAGAGTCTAAAGGTGCTTGTCATTAATTAATAGTAACATTTGATCATAGTTTTTCCTGTAAGTGGGTTTCCTTTTGTTTAAAAGTAAATGACACAGGTGGAGAGGTGGCTTGGACATTAAGAGCACTGGCTGCTCTTACAAAGGACCCAGGTTTAATTCCCAGCACTCATGTGGTAGCTCACAACTGTCTGGCACTTCAGTTCCAGAGAATCCTATGCTCTCTTTTGGCCTCTGCAGGAACAAGGTGTGTAGACATAGATAGAGACAGGAAATCACCCATTATTCAAATAAAATAATTTAAAAGTGAATAGAATGTCCTTAAAACTGGTAAAATCAAGCTATTAAGCGTCTGTTAAAGACATAAGTAGTCCAGAAAGAAAGAATACATTTTATTTTGTAAGTTTGTCTCAGTAGCACTTAAAAAATTGAGAGTAATAGTCATATTCAATCATTTTGAGAAGAAAAATGAAGGATAAGTACTAATTTTTGGAATGTAATATATTAACATAGGTTATAGTAAACGGATTCAGTAGTTAATGGTGGTTCTATTATAATCTCTGTGGAATGTAGCTGAAGTAACAAGGACTAAAATGACATTGAAGAGGAAAGTGGAACTGAGTGTGGTGGCACACACTTGTAACCCCAACACCTAGAACCTAAGACCGGAGGCTGGGAGTTCAGGGCTAGGCTACACAGTGAGGCATGGTCTTCAGGAGAAAGACATCATTATAATAGAAAAAAGAAAAATCTGCAACTTTATACTGACATTTAATTTACCTAGATTCAAAAGCATTAAAACCTTTCTGAGCAGGAATTCTCCCTGAAGAATTGTATCAAGGCTGGGCATGGTGTCACATACTTGTAATGGTAGCACTGGAGAGACTGAGGCGGGAGCATCTGAGTTTAAGACCATAGTGAGAACCTGCTGTCTCACCCAGAGAAGAGAGAGAGACAGAGAAAACAGGGATTATGTCTTTCAGAAACCACCGAGGTCTGTCATTTGGTACATAAGTGTATTCCATGTATATAATATCTGATCTGTAAACTATACCTTTAATTTTTTAATGATCAGAATTTATTTTGTTTCCAAAGAATGGTCTAAAAAATATAATCATTCAAAAACTAACTGCAGTATTGAAGTATACTTTAATTAGTTGTCTTGATGCGGTAAGTTGCTTTTGTTGCTCAGTTAATGAATTTCATATTTTTATTTTGTGCATTCATGGTATTCTAAATGTCATGACTGGGTTTTTTTTCCTTAAGATTCTATGTAAGAGTATATACAAAGTAATAAAATAATATAAAAAGAAATGTTATGTGTTCCCATTTTGTTGTTGCTGTAAGAAGACTCGTGTGTATTCATTTTAACTGTCAAGACTTGAAATAATGTGATACAGTTATTAATTACCTATATTTGGTAAGATTTCTTTTTTCCTACCTATTTTCATGTTTTTATAAATATGAAATTTAAGCTTTAATTTTACTAATACATCTATATAGATTTTTTTTTTAAGCTGAGGCTAAATAAAAATTGAAGTTAGTTGCTTAATTTATAAAAAAGGTAAAGTTTAAGAACAAAATATCTGAAAGTGTCTTAATAATGATTTAGACTCTCTTTTCAGGGCCCAGCATTAGAAGATTTCAGCCATTTGCCACCAGAGCAGAGGCGTAAGAAGTTACAGCAGCGCATTGATGAGCTTAACCGAGGGCTGCAGAAAGAAGCAGACCAAAAGTACTGTCCCCCTGAGCCCCTCGTCGTTCTCCCTTCTGCAGCTAATGAATAACATACATAGATGATACACTGATTCATACAATGTTCCCAAATTGTTCATTCTGGGCTGGGTATAGAGCTCAATGGAAAGAGTGCTTGCCTAGTATTCATGAGGACCTGAGTTCAATTCCTACCATTCCCCTCAAATCATATATCCCAATTAAAACACTTTAAGTTTTAATTTTTTTATTTTATTATGTATGAGTATTTGATCTGCATGTATATCTATGTACCGTCTGCATGCCTGGTGCCTATGGAGGCCAGAATACCCCTGGAGCTGGAGTTAAAAATGGTTGTGAGCTTCCAAGTGGATGCTGGGAATAGAACCTGGGTCATCCGAAAGACAGTCAGTGATTTTCACTTCTGAGTCATCTCTCCAGCCCCTGACACACCTTTGTTTGTTTGTTTTTAGGGAAAAGTACACTACCTAAACTAGAAAACATTATGGCTTACATATTATATAAGTAAAAATCGAATGTCAGGGTTTTATTTGTTTGGTTGGTTGGTTTTTGTTCTAATTATAGTATTTTGTTAGTCACTATTAGAATTCCACAAATTTGTAAAAAACCAAACATGGTAACTGTTTGTCAGAGTAGTGTCACCAGCATCAGCCACCTCCTCTAGTTTATACACTTTTTATCAGGTAAATTGAGTTCAGTAAAGTATTGGTTGAGGGATTATCATTTAACTACACATCAAGCATTTTACATGATGCATGTCATTAAATTCTTCGAAATAGCCATATGAGGTTCTTTGTGTATAAATGGAGCGATGGAACTTGGTTAGAAATTGTGTAAGTGCAGTAATAGGGTAAGGGGAAAAGAATATGAGTTAGGAAATATTCCATTCTGTTGGAGGTGGGGAGGTCTTTATCAATTTCAAGTGGATGATAGCCCATTAGCAACTGTTCTCAAGGTCACTGAACATTGTCTATGAGGAGATCAGAGATCAGGAGAGGAGACAAGGGAAGTTGTTGGGGAACTAACTTAGAGATACTGGAGAGAGCTATAAAATTAATGAAAAAAAAAGTGAGTTTGGGAAAAGAAGTAAAGATTTTGCTTAGTTTTGTGAAAAATCCACATGGAAAGCACCTAGTTGAGTGTGGAACTATACATCTAGAACTTAAACAACTGGAAACAGACACTGAAAAATCATCTGAAGATCAAAACATTCTAAAGAGGAGTGTAGGAAGAGATGAGAAAAAACTTCTTGTCATTTATATAATAGACATTTAAAAGTTGAACAAAGAAGAAGCCAGTGAATGATTGCTAAGAAAGCAGAGGTGAGGAGGAGAAAGGGAAAAATAGAACCCTTAGGTTAGGCAGGAAAAGAGTATTAAGGAGTACTAGTCAACAGTGTCAGGTGCTAGCATCAGAGAGAACCGATTGGGCATGATCTCCGGTGATGTTTCTAGAGAACAGGGGGCAGGCTAAGGAGCTGGCAGATAGCTGGAGGGTGCACAGTTAAAGATGGCATTGCTATTTCCAGCACAGAGGAGTAGGAGGACAGTGATGCTGTGGGGATGAGGTAAGGAGTGCTGCGGAATAGTGTTAACGGGACACACTGTGAGTTTGCTCTAGAGCCAGGCACAGTGGCACAGGTTAGGAGGAGCACGAGTTTAAGGCCAGCCTGGACTATCTAGTGAGACCCTGTCTCAAAACAAAGCAAACTAGTGAATTTGATTTGAGAAACGATGAATGTAAGAATACTATGGAATAGTCTACCAGCTGTCTACTAAGCCCATGTATAAGTTATACAGTAAGACATGAGAACTGTTTCTATTAGAAGTCTTAAATGAAAACACATAATGCCTATTTTAAAAGACCTTGAACTACTGTCTATATATAGTCTATATATAGTCACACACACACACACACACACACACACGCACACATCATTGCACGAATTGTCTTTAATTAGGATATATTTGTCCAAACTTAGAAGTGTGACTTTTTAAGGTTCAGATAAACTTTAGTCTCCAAAGATAAATGGAACTCTAAAAACACATGAAGTGGATGTTTAATTTTGTGGTTTCCTTTTGTTTTTCAGAGAAGCACTCAACAAAATGAAGGATGTGTATGAGAAAAATCCACAAATGGGGGATCCAGGAAGTCTGCAGCCTAAATTAGCAGAGACCATGAATAACATTGACCGCTTACGAATGGAAATCCACAAGAATGAGGTACATTTGTTAACTCAGCATACTGGAAGTGTATTTTTAAATATTTTATAAACTTTATTGCAATTCATTGGATTTTGCCACTTATATACCACTATGTTTAAGTTTAGAATTTATGAACTGAAAGTATCATTATTATGATATATAATTATCAAATTAACAGCCTACTCATTTTGTTATTTGAACTTTCATATAAAACTAAACATACTATTTTTAAAAATCAACTATAAAAGGCCAGGCAGTGGTGGCACACACCTTTAATCCCAGATTGAGGCAGGTGGATCTCTATGAGTTTGAGGCCAGTCTGGTCTACAGTGCGAGTTCCAGGACAGACAAAGGTACACAGAGAAACCCTATCTCCAAACAAACAAAAAACAAAAGAAAAGAAACAAACAAAAAAGTCAACTATAAACTTAATCACTGTATACATTGGAATAAAAGTTCTCTAAGAATCATAAAGTCTCAAAGTGCATTTAAATTCAGGATGCCTTAGGAACTCTCAGACTCACTGAGCTGTCTGATGTTGTTTTTTCCTGAAGGCATGGCTGTCTGAAGTTGAAGGCAAAGCAGGTGTGAGAGGGGACAGGAGACACAGCAGTGACATCAATCATCTTGTGACACAGGGCCGAGAAAGGTCGGGAATTGTTCTGTTTAATTTTTATTTTTAACTTCAGTAATTATTTAATGTTCACCTTTTTTCTCAATTTTCTCCCATTACTAAGTTTATCAAATAACTTCATTTAAACTGTACTGTATATTAGGTAATGGTTGTAGGTAAAATAGGATGTTTCATCTTGTTCAATTCTAGTTTATCACATTCATGAGCACCTAAGAATAAAAGACAACAATATCGTAGAACAAAACAAGAAAAATACCAAAAAAGAAAGAAGCCCTAGCAAGCCTAGGAACCTGAGGAATGGGAGAGATTCCACTAAGATTTATGTGGAGTTGGATAGCTTAAGACAAAAAAAGAATTGCTGTCGAATTCTTAGAGTTTGATGAAGAAGAAAGAGAATTACGTCTTATTAGTTTGCACAGTTTTCAACTCAGCTTTTGCAAGGCCTGCTTGTAAATACTACTTGTGACATTTCATCCTGAGTATGATGTATTTAGGTTTGGTTTTTCTTATCATAAGATAATCAGTAAACTGTGCTTCATCTTTAAGAAAATTTGACTGGCTTGATATCAGATACTGGGTCTAATCATTACAGCATAATTTGAGCAAGCTCATTTTTTATATTTCCTATCTCAATTTTCTAAAAAACATAGAATGGAAGTTAGAAGGTCCGTTGTGTAGAGTTGTTAGTGCTAAAGGACGTGGTGTAAGGCATGTAGTGGTCAACTCCATGGTCTTAGTGTGCAGCTCACAGCTGTGAGCGCCTCCTACCCAGCGCCTCTCTTCCAGGAAGGAATTCTTAGTTCATCAAAAGAGAGCTACAGATAACTGGGCTTTGTTACTAGGTTAAAGCCCCAGGTTAAATGGGTGTAATTTTTTAGTATGTAATTTAAAATGTGGTTTTCTAACTTAGCTAGGTGGGCTGCTAGGGTGTTGGAGGGAGAGAGCACATGCATGCACACACACACACTCCATTCTTTTGGATTTTCTAACATATTAATTTCCTTTAATCAATCGGAAGTCATTTTATTAGAATTTGGAGTCTTGGTTTTAAGCAAAATGACTTCTTGTACTGTCTTGGAATAAAAATTTGCTTCAATAATTTAAGAGACAACCTAGATAATATTCATAGAACTCAATTTTTTCTCTACCTCTTGGCTATTCTTCCTCCCATGTTAGATTTAAGGCTACATCTCATTTTTATTAAAAAAAAAAATGTTTTTAAAGCTTGCAGTTTTCCTCTAAGTTAAAGGAAAAAAGGAGTGGGCAGCCATGGGCGGAGTCCTCCTGTTTGCTCTGCAGGGGCACTAGTGAGCTGCTCGCCTCCATGCCCGTGCTGTGCTCACGGTCACTCAGGAGCTGGACTATAAACAGCCTCACTGTGGACTAACCGTAGACCTGGGTGATTCTGCTAAGGAATGTCTCTGACAGTAGGATCTAGTGTCTACTACACTGCGCCATGTCCTCTTTAGATCCTGTAATAGTGAGGGGTGGTTAGGTTACCGAGCATTGCTCTAAACATGGTAATCTTTGAAGTGTTTACTTCAGGGAATTAAGTGAAGAACCATTTTGTATTACCACAATTTACATAGTTAATGTTTGAAAATAGGGCTCAATATGGAAGTATGTCACTGACATCTAATTTCTTCTGAGATCAACTTATAAATAATACACAAAGTGTTCTCATGTTTGTGATACCTGATCAGAGATACTTTAATGGTTTTTAGTCCTGAGGGAAGTTACACTGATGATGCAAACCAAGAAGTTCGTGGGCCACCCCAACAACATGGTCACCACAGTGAGTTTGATGATGAGTTTGAAGATGATGATCCCCTGCCTGCTATCGGACACTGCAAAGCTATCTACCCTTTTGATGGTACGATGCTTGATGATGATGGTGATGGTGATGGTGATGGTGATGATGGTGATGTTTACTTAACCTCCCGATGGCAGCTTCCCCTCCCTCCTCTCTTCCAAGTCCCTTTCTCTCACCTCACCTCATTCCCCACCCCTTCCCCTTTCTCTGCAGAAAAGGAGAGGCTTCCCATGGATATCACCAGCTTTGGCATATCAAGATATAGAAAAATTAGGCATATATTCTCTTATTGAGCTTAGACAAGGCAGCACAGTTAGGGGAAAGGGATCCAAAGGCAGGCAACAGAGTCAGAGACAGCCTGGGCTCCCACTGTTAGAAGTCCCACAGACCAAGCTGTACAACTGTTACATATGTGCAGAGGACTTAGGTTCATCCCGTGTATGCTGTCTGGTTAGCAGTTCAGTCTCTCTGAGCTCGTCTGGGCCCAGTTTAGTTGATTCTGTAGGTTTTCTTGTGGTGTCCTTGACCCATCTGGCGCCTTCAAACCTTCCTCCCCCTCTTCTAAAAGATTCTCCAAGGTCTGCCTAATGTTTTCTTCTGGGTCTCTACATCTGTTTCTACCAGTTGCCGAGTGAAGCCTCTCTAATGACAGTTATGCTAGGCTCCTGTCTACAAGCCTAGCAGGGTATCATTAAAAGTGTCAAGGGTGGACTCCCTCTCATGGCATGGGTCTCAGGCTGTAGTCTCTCCCTCCATCCTCCCCTGCCTCTACTTGATCCCTCTTCTTCCCATCCCTACCCTCTCCCCTGCATAGTCCCTTCCCTGATGTTATGTGTAACATATAATACTTGGTAAATTTGATTCTTCAAAGTGATCACTTTACTGTCCTTAACTAAGTGATATATTATCAGAAAATTACATTCCTGGTTCAGTAATTGTGTAGTTTTGTTTTAGCTATGTTATAAATATATTCACACACACACACACCTGAGTTGAAAGAACATCTTGTATGCTGCCAGATCCTGACACAGATGATTGCCTACAACTCTAGATCCTAGATCTTACTTACACTCACATGAGCATGTCAAAGCTGTGACCGCTTGAGCATGTAGCCCAAGCCAGGAGCAAACAGCTTGTCGATGTCATTTTATGCTCTCTGTTGCTGCTAACTGGTATAGAGAGACAGCTGAATGCCATCTATTGTATGCTGATTCTGCAGGCTTCTCCTTCAGATGAGAGCAGTGGGCACTCGTGACTGTAGTGCCTTCTCCTGTGATGTGGTGGCTGGAGTGTGGGCTAGAGACGGGCTCTCTGCAGGCATTTCGTTTTCTCCTTCTCTAGGACTCTAAAAATCAAAGTCCTCTTCGTCAGCTAACAGAAATGTAGAGTAACGCCTCCATCAACAGTTGTAAAATGTTCTGTAGTTTGTCACCTTTCTCCATGTGTTAGTGTTACAATTGAGTGAAGTCTTTAGTTACTCTTCATTTTTAGAAAATATATTTGGAGGGATAGTGAGTAAAGGCCCTTGGTGCCTTTACTGAGGACCTAAGTTTGTTCCTGGGAATCCATGTGGTAGAAGAGAACAGATGCTAAAGGCATCCTATGTTCTCCACACTTATGCCATATCTCATGTTCTCCCTCTCTCTCTCTCTCTCTCTCTCTCTCTCTCTCTCTCTCTCTGTCTCTCTCTCTCCCTCTCCCCCTCCCCCTCCCCCTCCCCCTTTCCCTCTTTCCCTCTCTCTCCACACACACATACATGCATACATACATACATACAATAAGTTTTCTTTTTGCATGTGTATGTGTGGTATACATATGTGCAAATATGCACATATATGTACCTGGGTGCTTGTTCATATGGAGGCCTGAGACTGATGTCAAGACTCATCCTCAATTGCTCTTTGACCTTATTCAAGAGTCTTTGAATAGAACACAGAGCAGCCGATCTGACTAGCCAGCTTGCTCCAAGGATCCCCCCTGCATATATTCTTTCTTTCACTCTCTCATCCCTACTATTTTCTGATTCATACTTCATGAAGTTTTTAGATAGTTTTTAGTTTTAAATTTGGGGAAAGAATTAGAATTGTGAAACAGTGATTAGACTCCCCTGTCAAATTGCATAATGTCTGTGTATGCTACATAGTGCTCTGCCCGGTTGGTGAATCTGTTATGCAGAGGGTGATTGTAGCCCACCTCACAGGCTTATTATGTAGTTCAGATGAGACTGTGTGTGATGTGTTGAGTAAACTAGAAAGCATCACAGAGAGGGTGCTGCTGTGACGATCTGTGGGCTCTCGCATCTAGGTATGATGAAGTATAGTATTTCATGTTTGATAGTGTGTTGTATTTATAACTTTTATTAACATTATTGCAGTGCTTTAATGCTGTGTATGCTTTTAAAACTTTTCACCTAGGACATAATGAAGGTACTCTGGCAATGAAAGAAGGTGAAGTTCTGTACATTATTGAGGAGGACAAAGGTGATGGATGGACAAGAGCCCGGAGACAGAACGGTGAAGAAGGCTACGTTCCCACAACATACATAGATGTAACTCTAGAGAAAAACAGTAAAGGTGCAGTAACTTATATCTAAACTTACCGGGCAGCTTTGTGCCATGTACACGTAAAATGACAACACATTCAACAGGTCAGAAAAACCAAAAAGTTAAGGCATCCTGATGCATTGTTCACTATGTGAGCTGAGTGCAGGCTTGATCAGAGAGTGTGAATACTGCCACCAGAAGCTCTTGGACGCCTTGCTGTTCAAGCAGTGCTGCTGTGGAACCTTAATTGATGCCTTTCGCTTTCTGTCCTGCCTAAGTGTGTGTAAAGGATGTGTGCTTCTCTGCCTTAGAAGTAATAGATTTGATTATTAGGCAAGAATCATAGGTAGAATGTTCCCTGCCCCCTTCACCTCAGAAACAACAGTGACTGATGAATTAAAATAAACAAACCTGCTTTCAACTGCTGAAAGCTGACTCTCAAGAGCAGCTAAACCTAGGAGCTTGGATTTAAAGCTTCAGGTTCTAGGAAGAAAAGTAATAGTTGGATAATTAGGTAAAATAACAGTCATTCTCCTTGCTATTGTTAACTCAGTTTCCTAAAGAAAGAAAAGGAATACCTGGTATATAATCTATTTAATATGAGCTCATCTAGGGATAAGTCACCTGGTATTGAGCTTGTATGTGAATAAAACAGCATTGAGACCTGAAAATATTTTCAGGTTTGCTGGTAATTTTCAATGTTGTACAAAGTTCATTCCAAGCTAATCTTAGGCTTGTACTTTTCACTTGAAAGTGTCGTTTAGAAATATTCCATTAGTGCTCATTTAGTCTCTGGCAGTTACTCCTAGGAGAAAGTGAATGTAACTCAGTGTGGTAAAGGACAGTCTGGAATAGAGGCAGTCGGAACTCTTAGAGGAGGAACAGGGAACAGGTTTTACTGAGATGAAGGAAGATCTCTACCACCATTGAGGACTTCATTCTAGCTGGATTGTCGACTGTCAGAGTAGGTACTTCTTTTCCAGTGTATTGCCAAAAGCATCTGTTGGGATCTTTGTCCAGTCAGGAGCTGTACAGTGTAGTAGTCATGTGACCACATCCTCATTAGTTGAGTGAGGAGATAAAGGGAGGAGGCAATAACACTGGCCTTTGATCATCTTGTGTTCCAGAGTTCTCTGGTGTTTTTAGTAGCCGACTATAAAATAATTTTAGGTACATTTGGGACAGACACTTTAAACTGAATGCCCCTTTTGGTCTTACCAAAGGTCTTCAGTAACTGTTTTTTTCTTTTTCCTCCTGGACTGCAGGTTCCTGAAGAGGGTTTCTGAGGAAATGGGCAAGATGTTGAAGGAGGTTACATGCAGCTGCTTTGGGGGAGGGTATTAGAGTTGTCAGGCTGAAAGAGAGTGAGAGAAGCAAGTTGCATGAATGCATGCAGATTTTTTTTACTAACTTCATTAGCATTTCCATACATTAAAAAGTCATTCTAGTACCAGTCCTTAAATTCCTAGTCTGCAGTTGTTCACATGGAAGAAGGAAAAGAAAAGCCAGTAATGGCTAACCTCTTTATTTCATATACTGATTCCAAATAAGAAAGAATGCAGAGCTGTCTTAGTTTGTCTTGTTTGGGGCTGTCCAGTAGGACTGTCTTCATCCAGCTCTGTTTAATTGGCTTCTAGACTTGTCGCCTGTTAGACCCCTTGCCGTTTGTCAGTGTCTGCCTGCACCACCTCTGTGCTTGCTTAACATCCTGTTGCATGTCTAGAGTGATCTGGGCTTAGAGTTTTCAGGCATGTCTCTGTAATCCCTGTTCTTGTCGAAGCTTCTGTTTCATTTTGCATTTGTAGTGCAAATCACTGTGTCAGACATCTCAGCACTAATGTTTCCATCTTAGTATTTGTGTATGCTGCTAAAACTTCCCCACTGCAAACATTCCAGTTTTGACATGAAGACATAGTCTGTGAACCTGAAGTATTTATGATAAGAAAAAGAAAACATCTCTGCTCTAGCCTACAGCCCAGTTAAAGACTCTGTGAAATGTGACACATCTTCAGCACCTCAGTCTGGGAGAATCTGGTCAGCACTGAAGTCCTGGCATAATAACACCGAAGGGACTCTTGTCAAAAGTCAGCTGCTTCCATTCAAATGCTGCCTTAAAAATCGAGTGCCTAAATCTCTTGATTGCCAACACTACCACTACAGTATCCCACAAAGGGCTTTGTGTGCCAGCTCAGTGCTCCGCCTCTAACTGTGGCACCTCCACAGCTGTGATGTAGCCTCGGTAGGTGGCTTCTAGAGCTCCACCATGTGCAGTGGTGCATCCTCGAATTCGTGGCTCAGACTAAAGACCTGTCTGAGTCCATTTTACTTTCATCGGTGTATTTATGAGAAGTTTGATGAACCTTCCCCCTTCATCTTTTAACGGGGTGGTGACGATCTCCTTGATTATTTTAATGATAGTCTGTTTCCAAGTGACGCTTTTGTTTGAACCAGATTAAATTTAGTGAAACTTTGTAAAGATCTATGTGCACTTTTACTTGTAAAATGGGGATTTCTGTGTGTTTATACTTGTAAATACGATGGTCGTTAGTGCCCTCATTGCTCATGTGTCCTGCCCCACACTTGTGATTCTGTTAATGACTTGTATTTGAACTAATTTCTTAGTGGACTTGTAACAGGGAGGTGGGGTGGGGGGGTTATTTGTACCACTGAAGCTCCATTAATTTGGTTCTTTACTGTTTTGAGGGGAGAAAGAGAATGTGAAATGTTCTGTGTATTATTGGATTTCAAGCAATATTTTAGAAACCGTGTGACTGCTTTAATAATTTTTTCCAATGCTATTTGAATCATACTCCCAGTTATGCTAAAGCTGAATGACAATTGTGTGAACATTAATGCCTTCATAAGATCAAGTACACCACTGTTATGCAGCTGACATATAGTATATTACCTTTGAGGCTAGTAAACTATACAGTTTTAGATATTAAATCTCGTACAGGGTTATTTATATAATGTGACATTATTCTATACTGACAGACTACACAAAGTAGTTTTTAAAAGTCGTGCTATTTTTATTTCAGAAGTTAGCAATGAGAAGGAAATGTGACCTGACTGTGTTTGTCTTCTGTACAAAGACTGAAGTGCTTATGTTTTTCTGACTAACAATCACAGAGGGCAAAGTTCAAAGCTTTCTTGTAAAGACTGTTCCTTTCCAGCTACTGTGTGTTTTTCTAAAGCTGGCGTTTGCTTCCATAGTAGACACGTTCCTTCATGTGGAGTAGTGCAACCCGCACATGGGTTATAACATTTGAAAAGACACTTGTACTTGCACAGTTTTTAAGTCATTCTTAAATCATTCTTAAACTTTGAACATGTGAGCTGTCTAAAAGAAATCTCTTAATTTCGCAGTAATTTCCACTTTGTGCACATATTGATTTCTTAATGGTAAAAAGCCTTGTTTATGGTAGTGTTCTCTGTTGAGAATATTTTCATGGAATAAAGCAATCTTTTCATGGTCAGCTAAGATGTGTACTTATCTTTTACTGGAATTCCTTAAGTGTGATAGAGTCCATGTAATAAAAGTAGATGCTAAGCTCCTAAAGTGGGATAGTCTTTTCAGGAAAAGACTATTTAGGCACTTTATTCTGATTTTTAGTTCCTTCCAAACTTTGCCAAAGGAACGAATAGATGCTTAATTAGGGTGAATTTAAATCAGCTGTAATCATTTGAAATTATTTTTACTCGAAATAGGTATGTGACACAGACATCCCTTGCCCTCATTGTCTTCCTGCATCCATCTGTAAGACCTGTCCCTGGACCAGCAGTCTGATCTGGCCACTACACATTGGCTAACATTTCCTTCCTGACTAGTTGCAGAGCATCCATGCTTCCTGGGAAAGGAAAATGCATGGAAAGAGAGCATTCACTGTGACTAGGGGCAAAATATCTGTAACTTTCAGGAAGTCTGATTTTAGAAGAGTCACTCTCAAAAGGCAGTTGCTCAACCATGACTGCAGGTTCTCAGAAGCCTAAAGGGAATAAAGTGTCAAGAGAGATTCTGGGCGGTGAGAAGCGGCTAGGGTTTTAAGATGATGGAAATCAGTGCCCAGTTTGGAAGTAGACACATACAGATCAATGAAAATAGCATCAAAATGGTGTCAGGCTTTACAGCTTTTAAAGGAACAAAAGTTTAAAGGAGGAAGTGGGGAAATGTCCAAGATGATGGAAAAGAAGTTTAACTGAATGAATTCAAGGAAGTCAAATTCCACTCTAGAAAAAGAAAACAGCTTATAACAACATTAACAAAAGAAGAAGGAACCCAGCCCGGGGAGAAGATGTCACTGTATTAGTGAGGTTTCTCTAGAGAACAGAACCCATGGAGTGTACCTATGGTATGCATTAAAAGGGGATTCGTTAGACTGGCTTTATAGGCTGTGGCCTGGCTACTCCAACAATGGGCGTCTCTCAGTGGAGAGGTCAAAAATCCAACAGTTGTTCAGTGGATGTCTCAGCAGGTCTTTGGTCTCGGCTGCAATCCTGAAGTGGTAAGTTCTAATACCAGCAGAGAAATACCTCAGCAGCAGAAGTGAGGAACTAGCCGGTGAGAGTGAGGGCAAACAGGCAGAAAGCAAAAGCTGCTTTCTTTGTCCTTTTATGTGGGCTGCTACCAGGTGTGACCCAGGTTTTGGTTGCCAACCTCAGATGATCCAATCAAGAAAATTCTTCACCATGGTGCCAAGCTGCTTGGATTTAAGTAGACTCCAGATGTCGTCCATTTGACAAACCAGCTCCACCTCAGCTACTGTTGGAAGTTACAGAGATCATAGAAAATTGAAAGACACCAGGAGATTAGGAAGTGAGCACACATAAGCTTTGGAGAGTAATTTCAGATATGTCTGACAACCACCCTTAAATAATATCAGCATCAGGTGAAATTTCATAGGCAAGTAGTTTAGGTTCCTAAGAAATCAAAGCCTCATTGTCTGGTACAGATGAAGTCTCAGACGCTTACTTACCTACCATCCTCCACTTAGCAACATTTCATCATGACAAGATTCCTCATTTTTTGTGAGATGGTATAAGAATGGGAGCTTTTGTAACAAGCTGGTTTGGTAACCCAGAATGCCAACCCTCAGGAGAATTTCTAAGGAAAATGTGTATGTGTAAATTTTGAATCACACTGAATAAGCATCTATCACGAAACTTAATAAGTAGAAAAGTACAATTGCCACCTCTTCTATAAGGAACCATTATCTTGAATTTTGGTTTTGGGTTTGTTTTTTCTGTTTTCTGTTTTGTTTTGTTTTTCTTTTTGTTTTTGTTTTTTTTTTTGGTGAGGGGATTCCCAAAAGGTTCCTTGTTCTTTGTACCCTGGATAGATGATTCTGTAGGGATGTTCTGTGTGAGCAAGCAGATGTTCATGCTGTTTAGCATTCAAGCATAGCCATATGCTAAATGTTGAAACACTCCATACTGCTCAGTAACTCAGAAAAATCATAAAATGAAGCATTAAGTCCCAGCTCATGTGCTCCAGCCCAGAAAGTCTACATGGTACCCATTTTACTCAGCACTTCAGGTGTAAACACTGACACAAAGTGAAAGTTCACTATGTTTCGCTGTCACTTTCTTCATACATTGAGCTACTCTGGTGTCACAGATCCTTGGATGGGAGGGCTCTACTCTTTCCACCTCACAAAGAGATCCCTTGTCCTGCTCAAGGGGTCAGAATGCTAGATCTCAGCTTGCATTGCAACTGGAGAGAGAGGAGAGGAGCACAGATCCCCTCCACACTGCAGTGATGCCCCTTAGAACGGTCTTCTAAATTTTTTGGCTTATTTGGTAACTTAATGTGTACAGTGGAGAGCTGGCCCACCTTGTGCATTTGTGCTCCTTAGAGCTCTTCAGATGACACAGCTGTCATGTTCTTCTCTACTTTGTTGGTCTCCAGAGTATTCTATCTGTCTCCTCCTGCAAGTAAGTCTGCCTCTGCTGACCTGCTGGGAGGACCAAGTTGATGTGGTTCAGAACCAGAGGAATCCCTTTTGCCTAGTGTGTTTTCCTTCAGACCGTTTTTCCTCTGGCATTTGTCCTGTATCCCAGCAGTTATTTGACAGCTCAGTGGCTTCCTGATTGGCCAGTGTAAAAGTACAGTCTGGATGTGAAATGAGACAGGACACAAGTCTCCACCGTCTCATCACCCCTCTCCCCCTTCCCCCAACTCTGCTTGCTCTGGCCTTTGCTCTGCCCATATAGTCAGCACCCAGACGGTACTATGCTGTCTGGGGGCATCGCTGCATGGCTCCTCTCTGCAGGTGCCAGACAGCATGTTAGGAAATTCACGACTGAATTCAGAAGAGGAAGTCACAGGGAAAAATGGTGGTTCCCTGTAGGAAGTGTCAAGAGTACCATGCCTTGTGCTGACCATTGCAAACAGGAGTCTACTATCCACTGGGAAACAAAGGATCTGAAGATGAATGGCAACTTGGGGTACTTTTATCTCTTGATAGTTTTATTTTTTTGGAAAAGTAAGAATTCATTTGATTTGTCCATTGGTTTATATACTTTTTTGTATATTATGATATGATGGATATATTAGCAACTCATTTGTTATATACTTTGAGTATTCCTATGTCTAAAGATTATTTTTTTTCACCCAAGGTTCATCGTGAGATTATCCACATCCATGCATAGTTTGTTGTGTATGGTCTGCTATTATCCAAATATACAGTTTACCCATTGTCTTGACTATTACCCATTTTGACTATTTTCCTGAACTTCGTCCAATCTAAACAGTGTTGCTTGCAAATATTCACATGTGTGTTTAAGGACACAGGACTTTCTCTGAAATCTATACCTAGAAGTAGAAGTCCTAATTTATATGTTTGTAGGGGTTTGAATGAGAATGGTCTCCATAGGCACATGTTATTTGAATGCTTGGTCCCCAGTTGGTGGGATCTTTAGGAAGAATTAGATGTGGCACTAGGGATGGGATTTGAGGTTTCAGAACCCCTTAGCAGGTCCAATCTCTCTCTGCCTGCAACGTATAGATCAGATGTGAACTCTCAGGCACTCCAAGCATTATTCTTATGTGCCTGCTTTTGGCTGTGATGGTCATGTTGTAACCTGAGACTGTAAGAAAGCCTCCAGCTAAATGACTTCTTTTTTAAGTTCCCTTGGTGATGGTGTCTCTTCACTGCAATAGAATAGTAAGACAGTGTTAAATTTTCAGTTTTAAAGATAATGCCACTTTTAGCCTCCAGAGTTACTCTGTTTTTATATTCTAGTAATTTTGGTGTAAGGGTTATCTGTTCCACACCCTGACCCACTTTTGAGAGTCAGGCATTCTGATCTTTCAGTTCAAAGGATATCACAGTTCACGGTAGTGTGGGTTTCTCTGACTACTCATATTGGGCATCTTTACTGCATACTGTATTTCCCCTTCTGTGAAAAGCCCATTTTTAATCCTTGACCTTTCTTTCCCTATGGTTAGTTGACTTTCATGGTAATTCTTCATGTATTGAGGATGCTAATTGTATCATGTTAGGTATCCATTTGCCTACATTAAGGGGTACCTAGAACAGTGGAGGGAAAGTACTACTGGGTATGTTGGTTGTTTCCAGAGGCTGGCATGTGAGTTGGTGGGAAATATTCAACCTCAGTGTAGATGGGCAGGGAGCCTAGGCAGGACATGGGCACGGAGGAGCAGCGGATTCCTCTCTGGAGCTGGGATGCTTCTCCTGCCCTTGAGCTTTATGGCTCCTTTGGACTCGAGTACTGGTAGTGGGGACTCCCAGGGTTGTGGGCCTTTGCCCTGAACTGAAAGTCACATCATCGGTTTTCCTGATTCTGAGGCATTTGGAGTTGGATTGAACAAGACTACAGTATCTTAGGGTCTCCAGTGTGCAAAAGGCCTGGCAACAGGATTTCCTAATCTCCATAAGCATGTAAGTCAATTCTACTAAGCCCCCCTCCTCGGTCTCTACATAATTACATTTTGGTTCTGTCTCTGGCGCCAGAATTTATAACTAGGAAACAGTTATCCTCCCTTTGCTAGCAGACGCAGTCCCTCCCTCCCCATGGCCACCACCACAACCCTATGTATGGGGGCATTTTAAGCTCAGCTCCTCCATTCATTGGTGAATTTAGTGTTTTCCTTCAGGGTTACAGGTGATTTAGCTTTGTTTCTTTTAGGGTTGAGGAAGAGAGGGAGTGTTCCAAGAGTTTTTCTATCATTAACCTCCACAGTGCATTTAAAAGATAGGTTACCAATTATTTAGTGTTCTTTAGTATTCTTTTGTGAAAGAGCTTTCTAATGATATCTGAGCCTTCATATTGCCCAAAGTAGATGGCTATTCCCCCACCACAACAATTAACAAATGTAGGTTGGAAGGGGTAGCACATGCCTGTTATCCCAGCATTTGGGAGGTAGAAACAGGAAAGTTAAAGTTCAAGGTCGTCCTTAGCTACACTGTGAGCTGGAGTCCAACCTCAGCTGCATGAAGCCCTTTCTTAAAAAAAA